GATTGTATGATTCTGAACCCGACTAGATGTGTAGTAACGGTCGAAAGTGTAGCAACTGCGTGGGAGGCCATTTCTGCTGTGTCAAAAAAAAAAGACAGTCGGTATTATAGCAATACGTCTGATAGTGAAAATGTACATAGATTTTATAATTGTATTACGAAAAAGTTTGTTTTCAGACATTTAGCGCGTAGCATATAGCCTGTGCGCATTTTTAAAAATGTCAACAAATTTAGCCGACCTGTATCATAGCAATACGGATAATTATTTTTTTCAACTTTTCGTATTGCTGTCATGATTACCAAAAACCTGTTTTCAGACACTTTAAGTGTATCAAAAAGTTGTATGATAGAGAAGGTGCTACACATAATTTGTCTGATATAAATTTTTTGCACATGTGGACAACTTATTTTATCATGTCCAACAATTTTCAGACATATTGCTATGATACCGATCGGTAAAATTTGTTAACATTTTCAAAACGGTCTCAAAATTTAATGCGTTCACATTTCCGTCTGAAAATTGTTTTGTTCGCATCAAATTACCAAAATTTACTAATAAAAAAGATTTTCAGACGTATTGCTATGAGACATTTTTTTTGTCTCATTTTTAATTTTTTTAAGTGATTTTTCGGGTTTGCGCTACACCACTAACGTCTGAAAATAATGTTTCCGGTATCTCAGAACTATTATTCAACTACAGTCTGCAAATCAGACATATTGCTATGATGCAGTTCGGTAAAATTCTTTGACAATTTTGAAAATTCGGTCAGATCAAACGCTACGCGGAAAATGTCTGATATTAGTATTTTCGAGTTCAGGATAATCGTATCTATCGATTTGATGCGGTTTTGGCCGTATTGCTATGAGACAAAAATTTTGGTCGTGGGCTCTCGTACTATTCGCGAAGTAAAACTTCTGTACGTAGTACTTATAATTATTCTGTGGTAATAGGTAATTGGTAATACACACTGATCAAGAGTTCAAGACTGCCATGAATGGCGCCGGTCAAGTTGGCATGCAGAGTTACTATAAAATTCGCATAATGCTGAAAAATACGAGTTTCCACATTTATAAAGGTGTTCCAAAAATTACTAAATATTTTCTGCTGTACCTGTGAATTAATTAATTTAACCCTTACCCCTACTTTTGTGCTAACTTAATCGGGCTAAGCCTTCAGTCAATGCATTTTCAGGCAAGTGCTAAAATTAGTGTTCCACCCTTTTTAGGGCAGTATTTACACAGATTTTTTGTCTATATATTTTTATTTTTATGCTTATTTTATCTATTTACTTAATCCTTTCGTCAATCTTGCGTATTATGTATTTACAAATAAAAAAATGGGTACCTACCTATCTTGAATTTAAATGTACGAGTACCTACACGATCGGGGTTGAAAAAAACATTCAAGAATATATTACTTAACGGCCATTTAAATGATTTAACTTACGTAATAACTTCAGAACTAAGTTAATCGATTCGTTTTTAGGCTTCCGTAGCCAAATGGCAAAAAACGGAACCCTTATAGATTCGTCATGTCTGTCTGTCTGTCCGTCCATCCGTCTGTCCGTCCGTATGTCACAGCCATTTTTTTCCGAAACTTTATGAACTACACTGTTGAAACTTAGTAAGTAGATGTATTATGTGAACCGCATTTAGATTTTGATGCAAAAATAAAAAAATAATAATAAATATTGGGGGCTCCCCATATTTAGAACAGAAACTCAAAAATATTTTTTTCGTCAAACACATACGTGTGGGGTATCTATGGATAGGTCTTCAAAAATGATATCGAGGTTTCTAAAATACTTTTTTTCTAAACCGAATAGTTTGCGTGACAGACGCTTCCAAAGTGGAAAAAAGTTGTTCCCCCCCCCCCCCACCCCCCCATAACTTCTAAAATAAGAAAATGAAAAATCTAAAAAAACCTTATGATGTACAAATATAAAATCCGATTTGTATGGAAATTAAAATAATTAAAATGAAGATATCAATTTTCTGACTTCACCATACCATTTATATGACCATGTTAACATGGGCTAGTGTCGGCTCATATACCCATTTACCTAACACCCTGTATTTACCTAATAAAAATTCATTAGATGAAAATATTGAAAATTACTTATGAAGTAATTGCTTGCTTCTGAAGTATATTTTGTTAACGACGGAAAACTAAGTACGGAACCCTACACTGCGCGTGCCACAACACGCGCTTGGCCAATTTTTGGAAATAATTTTATTTTTACGAATTTTTATTATGAAAATCGCTTTTTTGCCTGTTATACCTACTTACGTTGAATTTTGCCAACCGGGTAGTTGACACCTTTATTAACCGATATGACGATGAAATTATAGACCTTTATCACTTCCTTTCTAGCACTTTATTCTACCCCTGAAAAGCTTTGAAATCAAAATAGTCTATTTCCTTCGTGGTTCTCTTTGTCATAGGTAGGTACAAAACATACGGGAGAGTCGCACCTACCCAGTAGAGTTCTGGCTCTACAATCTACAATACATCCGCATCTTTGAAGTCAGGATCTACATTCTGAAAGAACGCTCCAGCACGCTCAAGCGTGTTCTCATACACACAAGACTAGCTTTTTTTATTCAAATAATTAGATAGATCCATCAATTTTTAACTACGTTACTCGTATACAGAGATCTGTCTGTCTTCTGGTGTGTGCTAACAAAGTAATTTTCTAACTTCTTCATGAAACTGTGTTGTCTGATGAATCAAATAACAGACTATTTTCCTTTGCTTCTTTCTCTCTTGATAAATAATATATCTGTTTACCCAGCTAATCCGTAAGTATTTACGCTCAAGCCTCGGGGTTAGAGTTTAAGTAAATGTCATATGGCATACCGCCCTTTGGCGCGGGCACGCGAGGCCGATTTCATAATTACCCGGTTTAATAATTCCGGCAATATGTTTACATGCACACAAGCCACTTGTCTCGACCCCAAATTATAGTTTGGGCCGAAATCACTGTTTTCAGTCACTTTTGCTAACCAAAGTAGATACTCGTACATAGGTATTTGAGTTCTCTTTTGCCCAGAGTATATTTATATATAATATTTGTATCCATTTGATAAACAGTCAATATAGTTTCAATAAGTAGAACAAAAAGCGTGGACGTCCAGACAAAGGTAGCAGGAAGGCGCTGGATGCAGGCCGCTACCAACGGGTCATTTTGAAAATCATTGGGGGGCCTATGTTCAGCAGTGTACGTCATGTGACTGTAACGATGATGAGAAAAAAAACATCTAAAATATTTATTTGAGTTAATGGGACTTGAACCTACGACCTGTGGGAGTTGGTTGCTGGACGATTTAAACTGATCCGACGGGCACGATTTCGTACTTAGTTCTTTTTCACTGACAAAACCAAACATTTTAAGATGACTACGAGTAAAAGGGATGATTTTATTACCTCGTAATTCTTTAATATTAACATACATTTATAAGATACCTACATTCAAGTACGTTGCTATGCTATGCGTCACGCAGTTGGTATACTTCTTATACAGGGTGTTGATTTCAATCCTCGCCATATTAATTTAGGGAGTTGATTAAGTATTAGCTTATTCTGATCACGAATCAGTAAAAAAATTGACTTTGAAAAAAATTTAAAACGAACTTCAACTTTAGTTAGTCAAAGAAAAATACCTATTTACACTACCTATTTTACGTGGCTTCCTTCAGTAGGCTATCCGACATGATAAGCAAGCGATCCGCGTAGTTCGTTGGTGCCGCAGTGTAAACTTATTGCAGTAATGCGAGCCACAGTACAGTAGATATCGCACGAAAAATATTCGCTAAAAATTCCACTTTCGTTTGTAATTTTTTTTGGTGGATAATGCGTTTACTTTATTGTATAAGTCATAATAGATCACCTAAATAAACATAGCAAGGATTGAAATCAACACTCTGTATAGGGAATTTACTTTGTGTTGGTTGTCAGTCAGACAGGTTCGACATGGTGTAGGCAAAACAAATGGCCCTAAAGTACCAATCGTGCGTAAAGTCAAAACTTATACGTAACACGATTTATCGTCATTATCGGCCCCCACCGTTTAGCGGCGGCCTGGCGGCCTGCCGAGATTGTCGGCATACGGCGTAATTGTTTGTGGGCGGGCCGCGGCACGCGCTACCAAAACATTGATACCACGTCCACGCCACTTGCCGGCTTGCCGGAACCACGGTCGTCCTCTTTTGTTTTATTAATTGACGACCGTTTGCTAACTTACAAGTTACGTAACGCGAGGTGATTAATTGCATTTGTAACTATGAGATTTATGTAGTACCTCCTAAGTCAATTTTCCAGCAACTGTTATCATCTACCCACTTTATAAATGGTGTATGTTGGTAAGCTGTAGAACTGACGAAATATTTTTTTTTCTTTTCGCCTCATTTTCTTGCCCTTTGCTAATATGGGATATTATTTGCCAACCTTTACACTTAAACCTAAAATTCAATTCTAAATATTAGTCTACGTCCGTGTAGGTTAGATACTTCAGCAAGTAGGTGCCTAACAAGTGCCATCGTTTCGTCGTGGGTAATGTGCTGCTAATCACCAGATTTTAGGTTTATATTGTTTGCACAACAAACCAACTTTTTTACCATGAGAAATTGTTCAATCTCTAGCATTTTTCTCTTTGTAATTAATTTCCAATAATGTCTTTTTAATGCGATAAAGATGTCGCTATACGATAGAGATATGACTTTAGACAAATCGGAGGGCCGTGTTGGCAACTCTGACACCATTCGACGAAGTCACTCCCCCTCCGCCGTGACGTCCGTGGGAGACACTGCAGCCGGTCCAATTATCGAGGCACCCAACAACAAACCACCACAGAATAATTCCTGCCTATCGCGACATAATTGCAGTATAGGTACGTCACTAGATATAACTCGAATTATACTTTGATTGCTCATTGATTGCATCGATAGTTAACTTTAAATGAACGTTCTGTTGTCATTTTGAAAAACTACATTAGGAAGAATCCCTACTAAACTTTACGTACAGTTTTGAATGGACTACGCAGAGTGTTTTGTCAATGTTATGTTATTGGTACGTTTTTCTATTAATTATAATGCTGGTTTTTCACATAACAACATAGCGATATAACCGGTGGTTAGCGCGGGTGTAGTTAGAAGAAAATATTGATGTCAGTCCCATGGCCAATCCCGTTGATCTGATTTACAGAATCAGTCATTTGAAAGTCGATGTATTTTCATCGACTTTTAAATTGCACTACTTACATTCTCTTTTGTGGATACAACTTTTCTTAAAGATCACTCGTAGAATCAAAACACGCGTCAAAAAATCTCTTCTAAGAGCATTGTAGGGCAGCTGCTCTTTAATATAGTTAAAGTCGCCCTAACATCTAAGTTCTTCTGAGACCGACTATGAAAAACCACTGTGTCATGGCAAGTGCGAGGTAATGACCTGAACACTGGCACAGGGAAAGGAAAGGAATATTATTAGCCCACAACGGCACGTGACACGTCGCAATTTCACGCTCCTATCAAACACCCATTTATCTGTCGCCAACTCATATTTTTATATTTTGCGGTAAAGCATCGGGGCGGCGTTGAATAATCAATCGCTTATTAATACTTGATGTCGGTGACGCGGCAGTATCCTTTCACAATTACCTATCCCAAAAGGATTTGCGAAAGTTTGATTGAGCTATTGTATAAAAAAAAACTTTATGCGCATATTTTACGCTCACCACAATTGCATAAGAATAACATTATATGTTTTTGATAATGCGTTTATGATTTTGCAAACATTCAAAAGAAGAGATATCTTGGCTCAGTGTATATGGTGCGAATTCGATTTTTTATGTTCTTGATATGTTTGAAGTGAACATCGTAGTAAGTAAACTCCATGCGTCGTAGCACTCTATTTGTGCATCTCTAGATTATTAATTTAGTAGTTAGCATGGACTATTAATATTTCTCTAACTAAAGGACTGGCCATCGCCATACTGAGCATCGTAACTCATAAAGGAAGTTTCTATATTTTTAGGTAACAATAATGTTAATGTTTGTTAGGTGCTTGTAGGTGCCACAGACGGTAATGATAGGTGACTGTTTCGTCCGACCATTTCTTGCATTTATCATCACAGTAACCATCACCGAGCTTCCGGAAGGCTGGGCTGCACCATTTTACTTTAACTTTGACAAACGTCAAAAATCTGTCAAAATCCACAGGAAAATCATGTTAAGTGGTGCAACCTGGTGCAACTCAGCCTAAGTAATTTTTAGGGTTCCGTAGGCCTGACAAGGAAAAATAAAAGTAAATAAATAATTAAATCCTTAGAAGAAAATATTAAAAGTGACTTTAGATATAGTAATTGCTAGCTTCTGAAATATATTGTGGTAACGATGGGCAACTACGAAACCCTACACTGCGTATGGCACGACACGACACGCATTTGGCCGGTTTTTTCTAAACAAATCGTTTTCTGTTTTAAGCAGGTGGCGATGGAGGCGAGTGGCGGCAAGCCGGAGGCGCTGTGCCGGGTGTGCGGAGACAAGGCCTCCGGGAAGCACTACGGCGTGCCCTCCTGCGACGGCTGCCGCGGCTTCTTCAAGAGGAGCATCAGACGGTATCAGCTGTACTCGGACAATACACGATTCTGTTCGCTTTTGTCACGTGTGCGCCAGCTTCTCAGATAGTAAAAGTTCTGTTTGCTTTCTGACAATCCACCCTCAGAAACAAGAATATTATTACATGACGTGCAGTGGCGGATTTACAGATTTGCCGCTAGGCTAGGTAACCCGTTAAACATACTTTTGTCCCTATTAAATTATGTTTTACAAAGAGTTTAGCATTTGTTCACGTAGGGATGTTGAAATATTCAGTACCAGCTTTCAGCCCGCGGCTACGCTTGCATGGAATGTTGTCTGTCACAGAAAAATGTCGGGCGCGTCCCTGTTTCAAAAACCGGGATAAAATCTATCCTATGTCCTTTCCCGGGACTCAAACTATCTCTATCCCAAATTTCATCAAAATCAGTTCAGTGGTTTAGGCGTGAAAGCAAGATATGTACACAGACAGAGTTACTTTCTCATTTATAATATTAGTATAGAAGTGAGTCTGCCGCCCCATTAAATTTGCCGCCCTAGGCTTCAGCCTACTCAGCCTGCTGGTAAATCCGCCACTGAAGACGTTTCACATAAATCACGTAGAATCTACGTCGTAGATCTACGGCGTCGCGTCGCAACTGACTACAAAACGACCAGTGTCTTGCATGTCGTAGCAAGCTCGTAGCACCGATTCTGTAGACCGCGCTAATTTGCCTAACTTATTTTATTAAATAATTAAACAAATCTTAATCTATGCCTAGTATCTTTAATTGCTAAGAGTGAGTCAATATTTATTTGGTAAAAAAAAACTGATCAACTCATACGGTGCCTTCGTCGTAGCATGGAGCTTATATGTTCGTTTTGCCGAATTTAAGTATTTGTTTTGTCTGATTTGCACTCCTGTAAAATTACACTTATTTATCTTCTTTCTTCTTCCATAGTTTTTTCCAACTTTTCCCATATTTTAATAAGGTTACTCATTCATGTGGTCTATTACTGTGAAGAGTGTAATATTTTTCGCGTGAGTGAATACCGTCTCTTCTCAGCAGAAATCCAAATAGTGGATAATTAACTAGGTATGTGTTATAGGAACTTGGATTATGTGTGCAAAGAGAACGGGCGGTGCGTGGTGGACGTGACGCGCCGCAACCAGTGCCAGGCGTGCCGCTTCTCCAAGTGCCTGCGGGTCAACATGAAGAAAGACGGTGAGGTTCACTTTAACTTATTATATACTCATTCAGGCTGGGTTGCACCATCTTAAACTTTAACAAACGTCAAAAATCTGTCAAACTCCATAAAAAACACCGGTTATCGTTATATAGTTCCAAAATACTGGACTGTCCTGTCGATGACATTGACAGCGGGGCGCCACCGTCAATACCGAATCGCTGGTTCCGATTTTTTCCATGTTGGAAACCATATAGTTGAACGATGGTAGCGCCCCCCTGTCATTGAGTTTGGCGGGACAGTTCAGCGTGGGTCATTTATAGTTAGGTACTGCTAAAGTTAGGTGGCAACTCAGTCTCATATTTTATTTTACAATATATCGGTAACAAGACCCTGCGGCTACAGATACGACACTTTCTAATTGATTCGTAATTTTTTGCCACTTCGATAGGCACATTGCACACACTGCATTGAATGGCATCATGATAGAGAAAAACAAAAACGATAGCAACTTTTTCTATTACACATTTTTTTGTATTTTTATTAATACTTTATTTACTACATTAAGTGATAGTTGATACGCAAAGATGTACGCCATGAGAGACACCTTCGAATAGGCGAATGATGGTATGCACTACCAAACAGTTATGAGTATTTCTACATTACTTTTATTTATTTATTTATTCATGAATAGAATATTACGTCTTACAGCGGAGTGAGTAGATACTTTCGAGAATACACGTCGCACGTAAATATAATTTGTATATTGCACTTATTTTCGGCATTTTTCGCTAGACATAGAACTTTAATCAATAGCGAACACGGCCAAGCACTTGTCTCAATAAAGTATTTATCCAGGGCGCTCATCGCAGCATGTCTTTTCCATTAGGACGCGGTAGAGTATTTGTGGTATACAAGTGTCAGTAAGTGGCGCCGCCGAGGGGGCTTGTGCGACTCGCGAGCCCTCCGCGCTGTTCACACGGACGTGTATTCTTCTGGGTGAATGCATTCAACAAATTGTTCGTACGAAAAATCATATTTTTACTTCCACGTTTGTTGTCCACAAATATCGCATATAGGTATTTCTATCATACAGGGTGTTTTTTATACTTGGTAAACGAGAGGGGTTGATTATACTCATTACTTTGCGTACATCCAAAACAATTACATCCTCATACTAAATAACCCACGTGGAAAGGTTAATTTCGGTCTCTTGGGAAAAGTTGTTGTTTGAGCAGCAGAATCAACCCTTTCCGTTTGATCAAGTATAAAAATCAACACACTGTATGTATACGATCTAGCACGTTAGTAGGCTACAGTGCTACAGATTACGCATAGTAATCAGTTCAGTTTATAAGTTTGGAAGATGTCTCGGTCGGTAGTTTTTTTATTCTTTAGCTTGTTTTTGTAGGTGTTAAAATAAATTGCAATTTTGCAAAAATACAGATGTTATAAAATTTCTATTCAGCTTTAAGCTAATATCAATGTTGTTTTTTATCTAAAAAAAATACTTTATATACAGGGTGGAAACGATAAGTGATCTCACTCGATTATTTCTAAACTACACCAGATATCAAAAAACTAGTTACTGATCCTGAAAGTGCTTCATGAGCTCTATCAAACGGTACCAATAATAGGTTAAAGAATAAACTGGATCTATCCGAAAATTCAATGTTACCGGCTTCCATACATTTAGTATAGCCTCATAATATTAAAAACTGCAAAAGATATCGTAAAACTGGTTACTGATCCTAAAAGTGCTTCACGAACTCTATCCAATAGTATTAATATTAAGTTCCAGAATAAACTGGATCTATCTAAAAAATCATTGTTTCCATCTTCCATACATTTAGTACTGTCACAGATATGGCATGGCACTCATCTCTTGATAATATTATAGCAAATTTTATAAAAAAAGACTTTGAGGCTATATCATTTTACAGTTTTTGTTATCACGGACTTATTTCAAAAAAGTGATTAAATATATTTAGATCTAGCCTAAGGATACATTTTTTTTCATAATGATTCAATGGAAAAATAATCCTGTAGAAAAGAAAAAGAAATGGGAATTTGTGCCATTTTTGGCCAGCTTTACCCCATTTCTGGCCACAGTCATGTGCCAGTTCTGGCCATCAAAATTCATCAAAAAAAAAACAAAAACTACCCGACGGATTTTAACGAAACTTGGTACAATTATTTTTCATACTCCTGGGCAGGTTATAGTATACTTAGGGATTCCCACGGGAACGGGAATTAGCGGGAAAATCCTTTTGTATGAAAAATCTAAACTGCTTAAGTTAGACGCTCTAAATTTGGTATGTAGGTACCTTAGTAAACTTAAAGCTTAGTTAAAACAAGGAATTCCCGAAATTCCCACGGGAACGGGAATTCGCGCGAAAATCCTTTTGTATGAAAAATCTAAACTGCTTAATTTAGACGCTTGAAATTTGGTATGTAGGTACCTTAGTAAACTTAAAGCTTAGTTACATCAGGATATTGCAAAATTCCCACGGGAACGGGAGTTAGCGGGAAGAAACATTTGTTCGAAAAAATCTAAACCGCGTAAGATAGATGAAGGGGGTAAAACGGGATCCACGCGTACGAAGTCGTGGGCGGCCGCTAGTATTAAATATAATATCTCAGCTCGAATTGAAATTACAATTAAGAAGATCAACATTAACCTATAGTATAAGTTTATGCGGTTAGTACTGGAACAATTCTTTTCACAACACCGATTTTTTGAGTATTTTGTTTCGATGGAGGCATTATAATCGTAACTTATATCAAAATAGCTAAGTAATTAAATTGAAAAATCACGATAATAACTAAATGGCCAAAAGTGGGGTTCTTCGTGCACCACTTTTGGCCAGGCATGTGGCCAAAGATGGGAAAATTCATTCATTCTGGCTCCATTAGTGGCCACCTCTCATAAACCCACTTAATAAACAAATAGCGATAAAATATCATTAGTATCACTTAGACAGTGTATTCTTTATTAAGGATTAACATAAACATTAAAAAAAAAGAAGGATTTAGAAAATAATGATTGTTTACTCACCCGCTCGCCTTAGCCTTTTTGCTAAGACTTAAAACAATTAACGCTTCTCAAAAAGTAATGACTTGTTGGATTGAAGTGAAGCTTGACACATCAAAGCTGTTAACGCTATCAGTGTTGCTAATATTAGATATTTTTATTCCCGTAAACCATAGAGTAATATATTAGTCTTTGCCTTAGTTATAACGATTTGAAGTTCTAAATGGCCACAAAGGGGTCGGTGGCCACAACCGGGTCACTTGCCCTAAAGCCTAAAACTAATGTTTTCCATAAATAATTTTAAATAAGAATGCAATTTACGAGTTTATTTTAAGTTTTTTAAAAATTACACTTCTAATATTGAGCGGTTGGCATACATTTAGTATGGAAGCTGGAAACATTGAATTTTCGGATATATCCCGTTTATTCTGTTACCTCTTATTGGTACCATTTGAAAGAGCTCGTGAAGTACCTACTTTCAGGATCAGTAACCAGTTTTTCGATATCTGGTATAGTTTAGAAATAATCGAGTGATATCACTTATCGTTTCCACCCTGTAGATATTTTAGCACTGCGAGGGTACGTCTATTTACAGTTCATTACTTAAAGGTTTTAGGTAGGTACCATACCATTACGACCTCACCTCATAGTCTAATAGTTCTTGTTTACGTTGCGGTTTCAACTTCAATTTCATAGTTTTGAGATAAATCTTCGTAGACATGTTGGTTTTTACACTTCATGCTATACGATGTGTAATATTATTCGTAAGACTCCCGGTTGAAAAGTCGAGGTAGCGCGGTTTGTGATTTTCTTGACCCTTTCAACGCGCGGTGTGTGCGTTTGGCGCGAAAGTAAACATGGCGGGGCGCGGGCTGTCGCCAGCAGCCGCTATTCACACCGATATTTATTTACTCATCGCTTTGATTGCGAAAGCGAGACTCCAGGGCTGAGATCAATTTGTTTGCTATTACACCACAAAAAACGAGTAAGAATATAACTAACTTGATAAAGAAAATAGCGCATCGTTCAGTACAAATATCCAACTATCAGCAGAAAGACGCTATCTGAAACTCACGGCGCGATTTTCACCCGCGCCCGCGGTTGCAGGCCCGCAGATTCTATCTACATAATTATAGAGTGTAGATACTTATGTAAAAATTAATGCACAACTCACGACGCGGTTTACGCCCGCAGTGTGTGCGGTTGTATGCGGGTCCCGCTGCACCGGCGGACAACTAAAAGAATCGCGCGGGCCGCGGTAACCGCAGCCTCTGCGGTTATCGCCTGCGCGCTCTGCAATCGATTGGCGGGCGAACATTTTGTACCAGTGCAGCAGTGCTGGCAAGCGCCCGACTTGCCGTCTTGCGATTATCGCCCGTCACGTTTGCGGGCGATGATCGGCGGCTGCGTAACCGTTCAAATAACCGGTCCCGTGAGTTTTGAAATAAAACCGCAATTCCACAACCACCGCGGGCGCGTGTTAAAATCTCGCCATGAGTTCTTAGCCTTATAAACAATTTAGAAGAAAATAATAATAATTAAACCATTAATTAATACAATCAAGTCTTGGTTAACACATACGTAGCCATGAGTATGTAGGAAAATCTAAGTACGCTAATAGACTCAACTCTAAATTCAGTTTATCTACTTTTCTGGTAGGTGCCTAAATGGAAAATACTTTCCATTTATCACAGTATGTTTCTGTTGGGTTTTTAATTATTTTCCAGACTTTATTGAACTGATGTCTCCGACTCTGTATTCGCTTCTTCGATGTAAGTATCCACTGAAAATCCTCGTGAATGAAAACCTAAATATTGCTTAATCAGTATCTCTAATTCTCTATGCTATGGCATGTTGGGTTGGGGTTGTGCATTTGATTTTATTTAACTGATATTTATTAATATAAATGGCCTTAACTTCGCATATTTTTACTAACACATCATTCGTATCAATGAGATGTTCTCTTTGAATTTTCCATTAATTCCTTACATACATAATTCCATCCAATAATAAATAAATGAATATGAATAAATTAAAACTTCATGTACCGACTAGGTACTCCATTAAATAAGTTTCTCAGATTACAGTGCTATGTCAATTTCCCATTTTAATAACTGAAGATCTATTGTTTAATTTCAATGAACAAAAAAACATCGTAAGTCTAGTTAAGATAAACTATTGTTTATCCTTGGACATTTTTACACTGCGCGATTTAGTCACAAACTATGCAAAGTCCAAATTAAGAATAATTCATCGTTTTGACTGTTTATGAGTTTTGACTGTAACATATAACATTACATAGGTAAAGTATGTAAATAAAGGACAGTGCCAATCCATGTATGGAAGTTGGACCAAGTGCTGTCCAGAATGAAACTATAGTGCATTTTGTTCCTCAGGCCAATACTAATGTGTAAACCGGAGCGCACTGAAATCTATCCCTGGAGTTAAGAGAAAAAAAGAGTTTTGTTTTGAATTATTTACATATAAAATATCATCGATATATACGTACTACGCATAAGATTTCGCGATTGTGGCATTAAATAACACTCGATATTATGTTGAACTTAACCATACTGCATCCGTACACCTTACTTAAGTGCGACGAGCAGCTGGACAAGCTGAAGGTAAGAAGGCCAGAATCATGCACAAGCAGCTGGACAAGCTGAAGGTGAGAAGACCAGAATCATGCACAAGCAGCTGGACAAGCTGAAGGTAAGAAGACCAGAATCATGCACAAGCAGCTGGACAAGCTGAAGGTGAGAAGACCAGAATCATGCACAAGCAGCTGGACAAGCTAAGGCGAAATTGACAATAACCGTGCACTAGAAGCTGGACAAGCTGAAGGTGCGAAGACAAATCATGCACAAGCAGCTAGACAAGCTGAAGGTGAAAGACCAGAATCATGCACAAGCAGTTGGACAAGCTAAGGCGAAATTGACAATAACCATGCACTCGAAGCTGGACAAGCTGAAGGTGAAAGACCAGAATCATGCACAAGCAGCTTGACAAGCTGAAGGTGAGAAGACAAGTCATGCACAAGCAGTCAAGCTGAATGTGAGAAGACCAGAATCATGCACAAGCAGCTGGACAAGCTAAGGCTAAATTGACAATAACCATGCACTAGAAGCTGGTCAAGCTGAAAGTGAGAAGACCAGAATCATGCACAAGCAGCTGGACAAGCTAAGGTGAAATTGACAATAACCATGCACTAGAAGCTGGACAAGCTGAAGGTGAGAAGTCCAAAATCATGCACAAGCAGCTGGACAAGCTAAGGTGAAATTGACAATAACCATGTACTCGAAGCTGGACAAGCTGAAGGTGAGAAGACCAGAATCATGCACAAGCAGCTGGACAAGCTAAGGCGAAATTGACAATAACCATGCACTAGAAGCTGGACAAGATGAAGATGAGATGATAAGAACAATGCACAAGCAGCTGGACAAGGTGAAGTGGAAGACAAGAGTCATGCACAAGTAGCTGGAAAAACTGAAGATGAGTTGACAAGAATAATGCACAAGTAACTGGACAAGCTGAAGGTGAGAAGACAAGAGTCATTCACAAGCAGCTGGACAAGCTAAAGGTGAGATGATAAGAACAATGCACAAGCAGCTGGACAAGCTAAAGGTGAGAAGACTTATTCATTATTTCCAAAATGAACTTCTTGCTTCATTTTGGAAATAATGAATTTCTGTCAACTAGCCAAATACTATTAAAACAGCGCTAGATCGTTTCGCACTAAAGTAACGTGTACGGATGCAGTACGGTTAAGTTCAACATAGCGAGTGTTATTTAATGCCACAATCGCGAAATCTTATGCGTAGTACGTATAATCGATGTTAATTTGCATGTAAATAATTCAAAACAAAACTCCTTTTTCTCTTAACTCCAGGGTAGTCCAGTCAANTTTTTTTGAATATTTTTTTCATGATTTTTATGCTTCCTTTTGTAAGTTCTTGCTGAGAAATCAATTATTATTTACAAAAATAATTATCGGTCTAAATGGGTTAATAACAATTAACGTGATAACATCTTATTATATGAGATAATGTTATTATGACGTATGAACATCATTCATGTTAAATTGTACACTATCAAGTCGTCATGAAAGTGACGATCCCATTTAATGAATCGAAAACACTTGTATAAAAAATTTGACAGTTGTGTTAATTATAAACGGGACTATTCCCACATTTCCCACCTCTCTTTCTCACTACTGCAACTCCTGTGTAGCCAGGATCTACAGCTTGACCGCCAAAACCCAACCAGCGAAGGTCAAGTTTATCCCGGGGGAAAGTTAAACTGTCATTGGACCCGCAACGAAATTAATCAGAAGAACATAGGAGTTCGAAGTTAAGGTTCGATTTCCCTCCGTTGCAAAGCCTGTGCTTTGCTTTATGTTATTTATAAGGAAATTCCATATTTTGATCCTTGATATCATTAATTGTGAGAGGTCTTCAGCATTGTCTACTCCTGAAATGAAGTTTGAAGGAACTCCACCATCGTTCGTTACAGCCAAATGATGTCCACTGCTGGACAAAGGCCTCCGTCAAGGATTTCTGCATGTTGTTGCAATTTTCAAAGTGGGCTAAAACTGCTAAAAGGTCATACAATCTGTCTTACATAATTTACAATCGTTTGACTGTAGTAAGATACATAGGTATCTGTTATTTACCACTCCGTGTGTGATAAAATAGAACAAAGAGTTAATATTAGCCTGAACAATAACAAGTTTACAACAAAGTATCAATGTTCTAATGAAAACATTATTTCAAATCACGATTTTTCAGTCCAAACCAGCTTCGTTGTTTTCAGGCTGTATTACTGTAAAACGAAACACATTTACCTACGGAAGTAGTCAAGGTGAGTAAGCTAAACACTGTAGCTTTACGTAGTTGAAATAAATGCTAAAAAATGTATTAACTTAAAACAAATTTTATTTTTGCAATTAGGCTTTCAAAAAGCACTTTTACACGTCCCAGTATTAACCCTATCACTGCTTCGGGACAATAAATGGGCCAGTGCTGAAAAAAAGCATTTATATGTCTTAAGCAAGCTTATGTCTAACTATTCGATTGCGAAAGAAGAATTAACAATACTCGTTATTAAATTGACGTTTACTATAGTAGATTAAGTATTATTGGTTTTATAGTGATCTTTAGTAGCTTAAAATACTACTTCTGTCTAGGTTAACTTATGAGTAAGGTGTGTTAGTTTCATGAAAACAATCTCTCAAGGTTTTTATTTTTAACTGATGACTAAATTGATGTAGGTATGACAACTTTTTTTTTTCATTTTCTTTTACCGCCAGATTTTTTAGGTAATTCACGATAAGTTATTTCCTAAATACCTAGATCCCTATGATTTTGATTAACTTTTTTTAAAATTAAAAACAAGGATTTAAAATGTTTTTTCCGGATTCCTTTTTTGACACGAAAGTACCTTACCTTATTTGTGTTTATTCTTTTTTTTTGTATGTTTTCGTGTGAAATAAAGTTTTTTTCATTCCTCTCTAATAATTAATTTGTAAATATTAAAAATAAGTAATTTAGTTTAACAGAGCAATCGTCTGCACCGTTTACGATAAACAAAAGAATGGGCACGTGACCTCACCACGTGACGCAATTATGCGCGGGAGTGCATGGGAGCTATCGCTAGAGCCTCTTGAGAGGGCTTTACACCTATCGATTGGAGACACGTGAGTGTAAAAGACTTATTTTTAAATCAAAATCAAAAATATCTTTATTTGTTGAGACTAATTAAATTAGTTTTTACAAATCGTCAAACGCTCTTAAGGAACCTTTACATGTCTCATTATTTTTTTGCCCTGCCCTTTAAGTGCTGATTATAGTGTTCGGTAGTATCAGAGAACATAGAAAGAGGTTACTATTATCTTTAATCCGTACTAATATTAATAAATGCTAAGGGAATTCTGTCTGTATGTTTGTTACCTTTTTGATAGAGATAGTTTGAGACCCAGGCAAACATTTTGGATATATTTTATCCTGTACCTATTTCAAAGGGTCGACACGCGCGAGTTTATCGCCCGTATTCACAAACATTACTATGAGATCTCACAGTGCGCGTGGACGCACAGGGTGACACACGAACCAATCACAGAGCTTTACTCAACGCTGTGAGTTCGATTTTCTGATTTAACTTAAGCAAGCGTTTGTGAATACAGGAGGCGTATGTCTTTTTTAACAGGCTGAAATTCAAACGGGTTAAGCTAGTTTATTGTTAACAGTTTGCATTCGAAGACATATTTTTTAAACAGCAGTTTTTATAATATTTTTACAAGTTCTTTATAAAAAAGGTAAACTCTACTTTTAGGGAAAAATTTAATAATCATATTGTCTGACGCGGACAATAAGAATTTATGATCTAACAGGAAAAAGGCTACCACAAATCTAACACCTTCACTGGATTTCGTGTGAAACAAATACATAAGGATGAAGGTACATATACAAAAGAATTTAAATGGTTGTAAAAGGTGTGATTTTACAACAAAAATTATACATATAGTGTTGGTGACTGTACATAAAATACATAGGAATGCGTCAACTGTTATGTACATTATTTTAGTAGGTACCACAAACATATTGTTTAGGGTTAGTAATTTAGGTAATAAATAGTGTATTAACTAACAACAACAATGATTTATCCATGACGAATTCATTTTAGTTAAAAAAAAATAGTTTTAAGTACTGTGTGCCTACCATGAGTTTACGTTAGGTGAGCTCGCTAGCGAATACGTCAAAAAATTCTATGAAGATTTTATTTAATGAAAGTAGCCGCTAGGGGCGCTGCACAATATGTCATACATTTAAATGTCATTTTTTTACGCAGTCGCTAGCGAGCACACCTAACGTAAACTCATGGTAGGCACACTGGTAGTATTACCAGTCGTAGTGTAAATATGTAAATAGCAACGTCACGCGAGGTATTAATCGCTATAAGTATTGTAATACCTGGTAATACTGAAATCGATATCTGATGAGAGGTTTAGTAGTTGTTGTAGTATGAAGTAGTTAATGGTAATTAAGTAAGTAGGTACATTTACATATTTTTTTCCCGAAAATATCTTTGAATTTTTTTTTTATATTAGCATCAGAGATGGGCTAAAGACTGCGTGCGTGGAGAATAAATGACCAGGTGATGATGATCATAAAGTTGATTACTGAAATAATAATAATTATTAGTAATAATAATTACGATAGTGACCATAAAAGTTTAAAACAATATATTGATTACTGAAAACATCTTAAAATAAGTTAAGTCAATTCTAATCAATTAGGCTGGGTTGCACCATCTTACTTTAACTTGGACGCACGTCAAAAATCTGTAAAACTCCATACAAAAAGCGCCGGTTATCGTTATAAGTAGCTACGGTTAAAGTTAAGTGGTGCTTAAACTTCACAATTAGACAAGAATGACTTTTAATTCCTTTAAGGCTGAGTTGCACCATAAAAAGTTTGACCATAACTTTAACGATAACCGGTGTTTTTTGTATGGAGTTTGACAGATTTTTGACGTTTGTCAAAGATAAAGTAAGATGGTGCAACCCAGCCTAAGGATTTTTCCATCAAAACTTAGTTTAACCACGTCCTTTTCTCTTCCTTTTTGATAAAAACAATTATCTAAACAAGATTACCGTTGTAGCGACCTTTGGACGGCCTTTTATCCGGTTGAAGAAAGATGAGTAATGTTTTGACCGCGACAAATCCTAAGGTAAAACTGAAGTGGTTTGCATGAAATCAGTACTTATTGGATAATTCATTCGTTTTACTGACTCTGTGAAGAATCAAACTGTTACATTTTTTATTAATTTAATAAAATTATCATGGAGATACAGGGCTATCTAGTTTCAAACTATGCAAAGGGGTAACTAACCATTTTTTTTATAAAACAGATTATAATATTCATGCATGAAAATGTTTGTCTTGTGTGGGTACTGATCCCGTGAACTCTAGTAGTACTGTAGTTGATTTATCAACCACTGCCATATGGGTTATTAAATAATAAGCAAATGAATGGGATTAATAATACCTAGGTATTGTTTATGATACAATGTGTGTACCTATATGTATTATTAATTAAAAGTTTACTGAAATCATTGATGAGTAACAGCATGCGTAAATAAATCGTATTAAATCACTATGTGACTAATTTTACATTACAATAACAAAGCAAACAATATAAAAAAATTTGTAAAGAAAACATTTAGTTATGAGCACCAAATAAATGTAATAACCTAATTCATTATTTTTGTGTAAATAACAATGATTCATTATTAATAATGTATCATGTAGTTACGTGTTGATTAAAATTGTGCCTTATTATTACAACTTTTTAAAAACAACAGTGTAAAAAATAACATTTTCCTGATTGTTGTTATTTTAACAAAATGTAGAGAAATCTGTGCCTTTAATAAGGCATGGCCTTTTATAATAATTATGGATAATAAAGCAATGTAGGTATTAGATGTCGACAATATGCACGTGTTTAACATGGATAAAAACATACTACAAAATTTCATATAAATCCCGAAAGTAACTTCTGTCTGTGACCAATTTTGGTAGAGATGGATTGGACATTAGTATAATAGGCAGAATGAGAAGGACGTA